AGAACCCGATATCCTCTAGCTGTGAACATGTTCCATATGAGCTACGTGTGTGAGCTTCTTGACATCATCACACTGCCACAGTACCACTGAGCATCAGCAAACGGCATTTTGCAGTGAGCTAAACCTCAGTCGTACACTCTGATGTCACCTCTGTGTATTTGGTAGTTCATCTCAAAATTTCTCCCTTTCTCATTTTTTGGGGGAGTAGGGTCAGGACTAAGTATGTTCTATCAGCCCCGGTTTAGAGAGAGTTAAATGAAGTAACTTGAGTAGGAAGGTGACCAAGGCCCTATAAAAGCGGGGGATAACAGTCAATTACTACAAATGCCCTCTAGAGAAGAAACCTCAAAATCACATTTTAAACATTACATAATCATGAATCTGAACTCTAAACTTCTTCCTCCAAGGTCTTTCCACAAAGATCCCATCAAGTGCATGACAGGTTTCCCACAGCTTGGTCAAGCCCGTCTCCTGTGGCCTGGGACAGCACCTCTAGCCATGTGACCGGGTCAGAAAGAAGCCTGATCTCTAAGCACAAGGAAAACAGCTCCAGAAGACATCTGCTATGGAATCTTTAAAGTCTGGATTATATAACTCTGTGTATCTCATCTCCCCAGGAGTCTGACTCTCTTTCTCTCTAGGCTGGAACCTATCATATAAAATGGGGGAATTAGCTCCCCAAGTGTTCTGTAAAACCCAAGGGGGAAAAAAGTGCATCTTCAGGGCATTCTATTGACGAACAGTGCACAACCCACCAGAGCAGGAAAGAAAGGGAGAGAAGAAAGAGGCAGAACAGCCTCCCAGCGTTTGCCCCTAATGGAAATGATACGCTTGCTAAAAACAGTCCTTTTTCTTTCAGAGCCCTCCCAGGCTTAGGCTTGAGCTCACAATGGCTCTCGGCTTACATAATACCACCACCACGTGGCACCTCACGCCTTGGCCGAGGGACTCTCTATCCAGCATGTACAAGGAGCACTCACTGCACAAAGGAAACAAAGCTGAGTGTGCAGCACTCATCTCCTCCCCCCGACCACTCATGCTGCCAAATTTCATGTGGAAGTGACAGACAGACAAATGGGCTCAAGTGCCTGACAGCCGTACATTACTGCGTGCCTAATGCAAACGGCCCTTTTATTAAAACTGCCTCAGCCTCTTCCACTCCATGCAATCAAGAAGAATTTTGTTAAATGATGGCAACTCAATAGAACTTAAAAAAAACAAACAAAAAAAACAACTCCGACCAGTCCAGCAGGGAGTCCCAACTTTTCAAGTTTGCCCCACATGTTCCTGGTTCAACCCTAAACGGCCCAGGTGCTCCAGACAGGGACATGCAGAGCCCATGGCTACTGGAAAAACACTCAAAAAACCCTGCATCTATTAGCAAGACATGTTTCCAACCTGAACCTGTAGAAGGTGTCAAGGAAGGACAGCCACAGATTTTAGTCATTTAAAATACATATCCTTCTGTCAAAGAACACTTCACCAAGAGTAAAGAGCCCAGGCTGGGGCTCATGGAGAGCCCAGGTTTGCAAACCTCCCTAGAAGGCTTATAAAACAGTGTCCCTGTTGCCATTCCAGGTGGGGACCATGAATCTGCATTTCTTCTTTTAAAACATTTTAGTAATTTTTTTTTTACATGTGGGAGTGTTTGCCTGCATGTATGTATGTGCACCATGTACATGCCTGGTGCTGCTGGAGGCCAGCGAAGGGTGTCAGATCTCCTGGAACTGGAGTTAATGGGTAGTTGTAAGCCACCATGTGGGTTCTGGGGAAAGGACCTGGGTTCTCTGCAAGAGCAACAAGCACTTTATATAAACAATGAGCCATCTCCAGTGTCCCAGAGTCCGTATTTCTTACAAGCCAAGGGGCCACTGTTGGTGATCCCCACGGACCACAGGAGGGACAGTATGAGCCTCTGTTGCAGCTCCATCCACTGAAAGAACATGAGCCCACTATTGGCCTTCCTGCAAAGTCTCAGCAATCTCTAGGACTTTCTCTTCACCTGCAAATGCTGCCTGGAGGACTCAGGAGCCACATTCCTAGAAGTGTTTCTCTAATTTTAGCATGCACCATTGTCCCCTGGAGGGCTTGCTGTAACTGAGTTCTGGGTTCCTCCCCACTTTCTACATCCTGCACGCTTGAGTAAGCCCAGGAATCTGGACTTCTGACCAGTTTCCCCATGATGCCAATTCTGCTCCTCACAGCCACTGTGAACAGCTCTGTCTGATACCACATGAGGGTTCTCCTTACCACTGATACAGTGGCCCCGTGGGCTGTATTCATAGCAATTTGGACAGAAGACTGAGTAGCAACAGCCCTACAAGTTTCACATCTTTCAGCTTAATTATTCTAAATTCTCCATTTTCTCTCCATGTTCATTATACCAACAGCTGCATTCCATCACCCCCAACTTTTTGTCTGGGGCTTTTGAGACTGCTGTCGCTGCAGACAGGGTAATCTTGTGGGCTGGGGAAGTTTTCTGTTCAATGACCCAAGCAGTATGCACAGCAGGGTCACAGGGAAATTCAACAGGGAGGCAGAATCTCTGAAGCTGGGGAGTCACATCAGTGGCTTGGCCAAAGTCTCAGAGCCATTGAGCAGCAAGGATTTACTCACTTGACCTCCGGTTACAGGACTTGCATGGCTCCTTTTCTGCTCTAAGGGAGCACAGACTAGAGAGGGAGGAGCACAGAATAGAGAGGGAGGAGCACAGA